AACACATACTGAATTTATGAATGCTATATTCAATTATTATGATGCACCTATATGAATTATTTCATTGATATTAAAATTAACCATAGATTAAGTCAAACAAAGACACACTAAGAAGTGGCATAATGCAAAATTGGGCCAATGTGTTTCCTATGGGCCTTAAAAAATATGTATACTATCCATTTTCACTTCAATAGGGCTAAAACTTGCATTTGTCCCTCCCTCCAAAAGAAGATTAAAAATTCCAAGCATCAAACCAAACTTCTCAAGGTCTTCCCTGGACTCATACTCAATGCCAAGAATGAAAATGAAGGTGGGTGTGTGCCCCCACATCTGGTTTTTAGTTCTAAAAGGCCTGTGTTGTAATACATTCGGTGTATGATCCATTTTTGTGATAACTTTCCTGTGTGACCATTGCTTCATCAATGAAACAAGGATGTTAATGTATATCCATAAACCTGACAAGACTGCACAGTTTTCATATAAAGTAACAATAAATGTCTGAACACATGAAAATAAAGAGTATAAAAATGCTATGAATTTGTTTTTGCACATTTAAATGACAAGTTCCAATGGGACAGTATTTTTTTAACCTTTACAGAACAAAATTCCTTTATTGTAGGGAAATAAAAGCATATTATAATGTTTATAATCCTTTCTAACAACCTATGCAACAATAGGAATAAATCAATAAAAACACAGGTTCATCTATTTCTGACTCCCTGGCACAGTGTGGTTTCTCACTCCCCCCCCCACTAGTACTTCCCCCACACACCCCCCACTAGTACTTCCATCATATCTTCAAAACATTTCCATTTCTTGGCTTTTCCCTTAGAATATGATTCTGCTTATCAAATCTCAATTGGAATCTTGAATAAAGAAAAACAAAAACAAACAAATAAAAAAGCAACAAAACAAATCCCAAACCTGTTCTTCTAACAAAGCCTGACCTGGGTTCTGTCAAGCATACCTAGAAATTGCTAAAAATAGAAGTTTTTTTTTTTTTAGTTTGGTCTCAATTGACTTGTACTTCTTTGGACCTGTTAAATGTTAAATAATAAACTGTTATCTCTGAATAGGTTCTTCCTTGCCCAAGACACAGTTGGAAAAATGTGTTCCAGATGAGTCATTTAACCAGAATAATTTTCCTTTGAATTACTAGAGTCATTAGAGACAAAAAAAAATGAGTAATTTTCCATGCATCTAGGATTCAACATCTCAGATGCCTCACTTGCCTTTCGTATCACAAGGCACTTTATTTTAAAATACAGACACATCCCCCTCTCTGCTTCTTCAAGTCTCTTCCTCTTTAACAGCCGAAGGCAGGCTCATCAGCGACAGCCCAAGTGTCAGCCAGTGCAGTGTCCCTTGTGCTTGTGTGTCACCACTCTGAGCTAGGAACCGCGGTTTAAAAGAGCCAGCCACACAGGGTCTTCCTCCTGCTCTCCCTTGTCATTCTGATCGTCTTACAATAACAACAAAGCGCTAACCACAATCACAATCACCATGTGAACCATGTAAAGGTACAACCTCTGCAGCTATCTGGAGCAGCAGCCAGATAGCCTCCCACACGCTGACTGCTGCTAGCCTGGGATGGGGTGGGGGGATGTTTCTTGTGCTCTAAGCAGCGAGGGAGGAGGCAAAGCAGGGCAGGAGGTAGAAGCTTGTGTTTGACAGGAGCATTCCAACTGAGAAAATCATTTCACACACTGGGTAAGAAGCAGGTGTAACACTGAAGCAGACAGGAAAGTGCTGGTGACCTCTGCCAGAAATTACAAGGCGATCAGGACACTCATCAGGAGGGGCAGTGCCCTGCACGGCAGTCTCCAGCTTATTATTTTTTTTGTAAAGAAGACACTTTTAAAAATGTACAGTTAATATTTCTACCGTTCTCTTGTCTTGTTATTGTATATTGCATGGATACTCTGTAAGGAAAATTTGATCAATATATTAGATTCCTGGCAGGAAGATTCTATCAGACAATGCATGTATGCCTTGACACAGCTCAATTTCCATCTATCCAAGAGGGTATTGATTTTCCACTCACAGAAGCACACACGCACATACAAAGAGCGCTTATGGAAGATGGGGGTTGGGCAAGCACTTATTCAAGAAGAGATAGCTCTGCCATTCCCCAAATGCAGTCGGAGTACCCTCTGGCTTGGTGACTTAACATTTGGATGATCTATATAAACTCCTCACATCAGGAATAAATCAATGGCTGATGAGCAACACTGATAATTCCTATGTGCACTCTGAATGCTAAGAAGTGTATTTGAATCAGTGACTGAGGCCCCCACTGAAATCCTGGTCCATCTAGTTCATGTAAAATGCTTTCCTGAAGTCATACCCTCCTGACACAATATAGAATTAATCCTATATCACTGCATCACATAGAGAACTCTGTCTTTAAAAAAATCAGGGGTAGGGAGATGGCTCAGTGGTTAAGAGCACTGACTGCTCTTCCAGAGGACCTGGGTTCAATTCCCAGCACCCACATGGTGGCTCACAACTGTCTGTAACTCCAAGATCTGTAGGAACACCAATGCATGTAAAATAAAAGTAAATAATTTTTTGAAAAGCAAAGAGAGAATCTAATACATGAATAAATTAAGTTTTAGAAAAGTTCATAATATCTAGAACATAATATGTAAACCTTTAAAATATCAAATATATGAATAAAATTAAGGTACACACTATATATGACATTTCAAATAATTAAGGAGAAGTGGATTGGAACAATAACTATTTCCATAAAAAATTAAATTCTAATCTTACACAAAACTCCACCTAGGTTATAAAAGTCAAATGTGAAAACAGAATTATAGAAATATCAGGAAAAATAGAGTATACTTTTGTACTTAAATTTTCTTAAGATTCATTTTATTGTGGGGTGTGTGTGTGTGTGTGTGTGTGTGTGTGTGTGTGTGTGTGTACCAGAATAGGGTCTCAGATAGCTTGAAGCCAAAATTACAGACAGTTATTAGTCACCTGACATGAATGCTGGAAACAGAGATAAGAGAAAATATTTTAAATGTAAAATGAAATGCTAGTAATTATATATAAAAAGAACCAAAGAATCAACAGAAAAGTTTGTCTCAGTCATAGGATTTTCATAGTAGGAATAATATATTTTGTCAATAAATATATCAAAAAACACAACCTCAGGAATAACTAGAGAAATAGCATAGCAGCAAGGAGCTGGAGACACTGTACCATTGGTGAAGTGCCTGCTGTACATGTAGAAGGACCCAAGTTCAAGTCCCTAGAACTCACATAAAGCCTGAAGCAGTGGTATGTAGGCAACCCTAGCACTGAGGGAGGGAAAGGGAAGGGCACAGGCAGGCAGATCCCTGGAGCTCATTGGCCAGTCATCCTAGCCAGTTGGTGAATTCTAGACTCAGTAAAAATAAGGTAGAGAGCAATTGAACAAGATTTCAACATCAACCCCTGGTCTCCACACACATGTGTGGGCACCTGCTCACACACATGCACAGCCGCACACAAACACTCACATGTAACACACACACACACACATGCACACATATACACACAGAGAGGCATATATAGCAACAAGATGCCATTCTTAACTGAGGCAGATAAAATAAAAATCTTAAAACCTTAGTAGTTTCCATAATCAACTAAACTGTAGGGAAACAGACATTTTTCTTCTTCCTAATGTTATAACTTTATTTGATAGCAATTATTATCTTTAAAAATCACAAATATGAACACTTGACCCCAAATTCTATTTCTATAAACCTAACTAAAGAAATAGCGATATATAATATTAACATTTGAATATATATCATGCACAAAGTCCCTTATAACTACTTTGTTTACATTAACCAACCTTGCAAGCCAAGTTTTTTCATGTCCCATTTTATATATAAGGAAACAAGTAGAGCCTAAGTGAGTCACTTTAGTAACAGAACCAGGAAGCAACAGTAGAATGACTCAAGTACAAAATACTCTCTTTACCCTTGTACTGCCTCTCTCAAATAAATAAGCAGAGGTACTTATTGCATTATTGATTATAACAAGTAAAAAAATGAATAAAATACAAATATTTACAGACCTGAGAAATGACTATACAACAAATTCATATCATAGAACACTAGAACATAGAAGTAATTAAAAAAGAGTGAAGCCAAAGAATTTAAAGCACTAACCACACATGCTATAGTAGTATTATTCATAAAAGCCAAAACTGGAATCAAATAATGTCCACAAACAAAGAAATGGATAAAAAAAAACTGTGGGCAATGGATATTAGCTTCTTATAAAAGGGCCAGCCAAAGAAACACACCTTGGCACTGAAACCACAGCCAAAAGTTTAAAAAGGACCCGTGAAAGAAACACAGTTTTGACCCAAAGAAACATACTCTGCCCCTTACCAACACAGTATAAAACCAACCAACCCTGAGCACAAAACCAACCAATCCTTGAGCACCAAAACTAGCCAATTTCTGAGCTTGCCTAACCCGGCCACCCCCAAGAAATCCTATATAAGGTCTGTACCCTGTTAAATTTGCTGCTGTATCTCACCTGAGGCAATCAACCTCCTGGATTCTTCCCTCACAATAAATCTTTTGAGTGAGGTTTGTTGTGTGGTGTGACAGTTTGCTAGAGTGAAGTCCAGCTGTAACAGCTTGCAGGAGCTGGGGCAGGGCTGTAGCTGCTATGTGTACAGTGACTGTGGTATTCCTTGGCTCCCAATTACCAGGATACTTTTCCATCTGAGCCGTAATGCTTACACATACAGGACATCGATGAGTCTTGCAAACTTTATGCAGAGTGAAAAAGTCAGACACAGTGGTTGTCAGTTGAGAATAGGGACCAGCAGCTAGTAGACACAAGGAATGGTTAATTTTATGTGTCAACTTGACTGGGTGTGACAGCACAGCTTTTTCATCTAGTCATAGCATCATCCTATGGCCATTCTAGAATAGAGACTTCCTCAGCCTGGTAGCCACGGCAACAAAATAAACAGAACAATTCAGTGTTAGCCAAGGCTACTGTAGAGAAGAGTCACAGGATCCTCACCTGGAAGTCCAGTCTTTACTCCCTCCATCACTCCCCTCCCAACTAGTAGCAAATGATTTTGGGAGGCTGTAGACTATATAGGAAGTGGCAGGTTCACTGACGGTGTGATTCTATGATTCAGCTTCCATGAGCCCTCAACTGTGTTGGGCTGGAACTTTGTGAAGATGCATCTGTTTTGGTATCATCCACATTCCTGTAAGTAATCCCTCACCTATGCTCCATAATAGGCACTGGTTTTAAGATGAACTCTGGTGGAATCTTTATCTTGGTTTGTCATGTCTTCCCCCCTCAGGTAAACAGAAATTTGTTCACATCTCTCAGAAAAAGTTACCACAGCACTGGTTAAGTGGTTCCCCCTGGCCTTCCTGGTCTGCTAGCTTACCGATAGTACATTGCAGGACATCTAGTTCTTCAGGGGCTTTCTGAGCTGATTCCTGTAATCCCTACATCTACCCACAACCACATCTGTGCTTATCTTATTGGTTTTGCTTCTCTGGAAAAATCTAATCACACTATGCTCTTCTTCTGGTGTGTGTGTGTGTGTGTGTGTGTGTGTGTGTGTGTGTGTGTGTGTGTGCTCAAAACGTTCTGGAATTAGTGGTACTGACTGAACAGCATACTAAAGGCCATTGATTGCTCATCTGAAAACAAATTTTATGTTGTGTGAATATGTAAGAGCCGAAGTTAACCTGTAAGTCCCACTTGTGTGAGGACAAGATAACTTCCTGATTGCTGGGAGTTGTAGTTCTTGGGAACTAATAGCCACATGGTTTCATTCCCCTAAATAAGTTTGTCTGAACCAACTATACTGGATATGAGTGATCACATGTGGGCTGTAGGTCCAGAGGCGGGCAGGAAATATATCAGGATGTATGTTTGATCCTCATTGGACCTGATGGGAAACACAATGAATTGTGAATTTTGCCTTTTTAAGACCCTGAAAAAAATGAGAAGACTCCCTGGGAACCCAAAGAGGGACCTAGCCAGAGTCCATTTCTCTGGTCAGTACTTAATTAAAACTTGCTTCAAATTTGACTCAAAATCATGGAATTGATTTTTCTCTGGAGAATCTCAGGATTAACAAATAACACCTCAATTTAAAAAACAATGAGGAACCAGGCCTTGGTGGTGCACACCTTTAATCCCAGCACTCAGGAGGTGGAGACAGGGAGTCAGGAGAGAGGGAGGCAGGGAGGCAGAGAGGCAGAGAGGCAGGGAGGGAGGGAGGCAGGGAGGCGGGGAGGCGGGGAGGCGGGGAGGCGGGGAGGGAGGGAGGCGGGGAGGCGGGGAGGCGGGGAGGCAGGGAGGCAGGGAGGCAGGGAGGCAGGGAGGCAGGGAGGCAGGGAGGCAGGGAGGCAGGGAGGCAGGGAGGCAGAGGCAGGAGGATCTCTGTGAGTTTGGGGTCAGCCTGGTCTATGGAGAAAGTTCCAGAACAAGCAGGGCTACACAGGGAGACCCTGTCTCAAACAAGAGCAACAACAGAAGAGGAATGTGACTGTGTGCTGATATAAAAAGTAGTAAATGAAGCAAGCCAGCCCTCAAATGATGAGCGCTTCCCTTTAGGAAGCTGAAAAGGTGAAACTGTAAACGGACAGGGAGACTCAGGAAGAGCACACACTAGCCCACAAACAGAAGTTTCTACTGGAAAGAAAAACAGATTTGGGAAACTCACATTTTCTCTCTATATTTCTGTTCTCAATTTTTTTTACAGTAAGAAATATATCACTTCCGTAATTTGAAATCAACAAAATGAAAACAAAAGCATTCCAACATAAATAAACTAGTGAATATACAAACTGAAAATAAACCATAGGCAAGTTTCCAGCAAGCTTAGGAGGTGGGGTCCTAGCTCAACTTTGCTTCAAGGACCCCGTGTCTGTAGAAAATCCATCTGGCATCTCTCGTCAAGAGTTTTCTTGTCTGTCAAAGGAGGGCACTGGACCACATGGCTCCACTGGGCCTCTTTCAGCTGTAAGAACTTTGGATTCAACAAGCCATTCTCTTTCCTTGTTTTGTTGCCAAGGTTACTGGCAGCTCTGTTCTTTCAGAACACATTTTAGACAAGACATCAAATATGGCCATGAATTTATACACATTCCAAGACCTAAAGGGATAAGAGCCTAACCTCCTTGCTCAGCTGCTGCTTAATTGTGACCTGTTCTGTTGTATCCATTAGCCATCACACACACAGATCATATGGCTAAAGGGAGAAATAAAATAATTCTTGGGCAAAAAGATGATTGGCCAGACAGCTCATTTTTTTTTGTTTAATACACCAAAATCTCATTTCAGAAAGCATGTTATCCTGAAATAACTTATTTTCCTTTCACCATATGCATAACCTCTAAGTTGCCTTTTCATTATATTCTGCTGGCCCTTGGTCAGATGAAGAAGATTTTTATAGACAGGGAAAATGAGGGAGGAGGATTTGCCCTAGGAATTCAGGGGTGTAGAGGAGGAGGGGTTGATTAAACACCTTACACGGATGGACAAACATGGGTGAGAAAATGAAGGACACTTCTAGTCCCTTCTCCATCAGTTTGCCAGCTGCTCTGCCTAATAGTGAGCCAGCTGGGGTCCACAGTGGAGATTATGTGTTTCTTTGAAGGGCCAAGAGAGGATCCTGCCGAAGCTGGGGTTCCTTCTCCAGCAGCTGGACCAACACCCTCAAGCACGCTGTAGATGCTCAGAACGTGTCAGTATTGTTTCTTTCTCCATGGGTAATGAGATAAATGCATGGAGAAACACCAAGGCTGCAGCCTGCAATTTCTACCTCTCTGTGCTTTCTGTGTGATCTTATAAAAGTTACCAAAAATCCACTGGGTGGTGGTGGCACATGCCTTTAATCCCAGCACTCGGAGGCAGAGGCAAGTTACCAAAAACCCAACCAGTATTGACATGAAGGCTAAGCAGAACAACATGTTCAAAATGCCCATAGCCCTTGAACCATTGCAGACAATGAATGAGAAGCATACTTGCTTTTCATCTCTGAGTGCCTTGGAATTTTGCCAGAACTAAGTCTCAAGGCTAGAGTTTATTTCTAAGAGTAAACACCCATCTTTTTTGTTTGTTTTTTTTACTAATTTCTTACTTTTAATACCATTTTCCCCCGTCTGCTTTTCAATCAAGGGTTCCTCAAGTTTGCATTTTCCCCTGGGCATCACAAATCAGCCAGTCATCTATCAGAAAGCATCAGCCTAGCTGTGTTCTTCTGAGGCCTCTTCCCTGTGCCCGAGGCCAAGAAGACTGAGTCCTGGAGTGGGTGGAAACATATCCCACCACCCATCCTCTCACAGTCAGACATCCTGGCCACCAAACCCCCTCCACTCCTTTCCAGGGTGGAGATGGTTGATGGCTGGGCTGGCACTTTGTTTTGGGATGTGTGGGTAACTTGACTGTCTTTTAGTTAGGGTTTCTTATTGCTGTGAGACACACCAGGACCACAGCAATTTGTACAAATTAAACCACTTCACTGAGGCAGCTCACTGATAGTATCAGAGGTTGGCTCCATTATCATCATGATGAGGAGCATGGTGGCGTGCAGGCAGATGAGGTGTTGGAGCTGAGAGGCCTACATCTTGATTCAGAGGCAACAGGAAGTTGACTGACTATCACTGAGGGAAACTTGAGAAAAAGAGACCTCAAAGCCCATCCTCACAGTGACATACTTCCTCCAACAAGGCCACACCTCCTAATAGTGCCACACCCTCTGGGGGGGCAATTTCTTTCAAACCACCACATTGACATTATTCATTTTTTTCACCCTTTCCTTGCAAACCTTGAACCTGTGACAAAAAAAGAATTCCATTTTAAATATCTTGTGTCTCCTTGGTATACAGAAACCCCTGCATATGTATAAGATTCTAAAGGACTTGAACTCTGTAACTTAGTATACCAGAAGTTCTAGGCAAGGTGTTGCATGTTTGTAATCTCAACACTTGGGAGGTAGAAAAGGAACGATGGTAAGGTCAGCTGGGTTGCATGGTGAGTTCCAGGCTTATCTGGACAACATGGCATACCGAGGGGAGGGAGAGAGAAGTCAGAGAGATGGAGATGAAGGAAAAGGAAGAGAAGGAGAAAGAAGAAACATTTCAGGATGCTTTCTGTGTATGTGTATATAGGATCTGATGTAGGTGCTGGAAACTGAATCCAGGTCCTCTGCAAGAGCAGAAAATCACTCTTACACTGCTGAAGCATCTCTCCAGGCCCCACTATCATCTTTTGGTATTTTGAGGCAAGGTTTCTCTATGGAGCTCTAGCTGTCCTGGAACTCATTCTGTAGACCAGGCTGGCCTCAAACTCAGAGATCCACCTGCCTCTGCCTGCCAAGTGCTTGTATTAAATGCCTGTGCCACCACCTCCTGGCTGTGCCGGGGTTTTTAACATGGGTTCTGGGAATTGAACTCTGGTCCTCATTTTTGTGTGACAAGCACTTTTTATATGGAGCTATCTTCCCAGTCCCCAGATACTTTCAAGAGTCAAGCTTCCTTGGCCTTTTGTTCATCACTTAACTCAGGAGCCACATCAGTCCCGATGGGATTTATGAACTGTGTCCCTGACTGCTCAGGATACAGGATATGGCATGTCCAATCACTAGAAGCCATGCAGGCTCAACAAAACTTTAGAACACTGTCAAAAATATGACTATTGCATTTTGGTCTTCCAGCCTGACCACCAGAGTGAACAAATCCCCCAAGGTAGGAGTGATAAATTCTGGTAAGCAAAGTTTATATCTAGACTAGCATGGGTCTGCAAACAGCAAAAGGGATCTGTGAGCTCCCTGAGTTTGACTGTACAGAAACTTTGGGCCTCTACAACCACAGGAGTGGCATTCTTAGCAAGCTTTGTGGACAGACAAAAGAAGAAGACAGAATCCCTTCAGTTCTGGTTGGTTCCTCTTCCCACTGAGGAAACCTGGTATTTCTAGGTGGTCTACGTGGGTTTTCCCTAAACAGGGAACCCTTGTATAGAGTAGCCCTTTGTCCCAGAAAAATGACAGCAGCCCCTGAGCATTCTCAGACAGTTCATCACAAGGGTTCAGCCAGGCAACTGGGAATAACACTCAGCAGTTGCTCTTCCAGGCAGGTCATGGGCCAGGAGCCAGAGTCCTGCTGCAGAGCAGCTGACATGGGTTTAACCTGTTGGAGCTTGTTAATAGTCTGGCCAACGCGTGGCAATTGAATCAAACTTCGCAC